TGGGCCTGAAAATTAAGTTCACATATGAAAGATTAATAAGAGAAAAACATAGAGACTTTTACATATACCTGGGAGCCCCTATAGGAAAATAAAGACCTAAAGAAGTGGCAAAACCTAAACGCTTATGTAATAGGTTGAACAAAGAGTGGCAACTGTGGGAAAGTAATTACATTATGTATGGAGACAAAGGACGATAAGCATTATTTTAACAAGGTGTGCATGTACAGAATTCTCTTAGCTATGACTCTTGTCAAGAATATTTTTTTCCTGCTGGTACAGGGAGGGCATCTTTCACATGGGATTATCATCTCCTGTTTTTAGGAAGAAAAAAAGATTTGAATGCCCTTCTTGCATCTGCCATTTTCAAGCGCCTTTAGCTCAAAATTATCCTTCTGCCAAAATGTTATATTTGTAGGGGGGGCATATTCTTCCATCCTTCAGTACCTTTGAGCACACAGGGCCTTGTTTTATAGACCTCCCAGGTTCTGGTACTGTTAACAGCCACAATTGCCCACGCCAGCTTCCCACGGTAACCTGTAGGGGAAATGAGGGAGGAAGAATGTTTCTGTCCTAATTGTGTTACTCTGTCGCTGAATTCCCTAAATATCTGCACCCCACCTTACCCCATATTTTATAGAGTTAGATGAAGAGCTTTTTCGTCTTTTACTTGCCGTCATCCTCTTCCTCTTCCTCTCCTCTCTGTAAGCATGAGGTCAGGCTGCACCGAGTGGAACAAGGGAGGCTCTACCGCACTGAGAATCATGGCTCCTGGCTCAAAGGCACTGAGAACCGCCTCTCTCTAGGCTGCAATGTGGAAAATGCCTAACCTACCGCAGGGGAGACTGCAGAGTGGGAAAGGGGTCACCAGAACTATCGGCCCAAACAGGATACAAAATGGACTGTACACTATGATTACAACGCTGCTAAACTATATCTGCTATTGTACTAACACTGGAAATGAGTAAGCAAAAGTGAAAACAACTGTGTGAAGTGATGGTAAGAATGAGTTTTCTTTTGTGGTTCTCTATTTTCTAATCTTTCAGTAATGTCATTATATACACCTTGTGATAAAAGGTATCTCTTTTAAGTTTCTCAGTGTAGAAAATGCTTTTCTCTGAACATTTCCTATATTGGAAGTCATTTGAGTAATAGTATTGATTTTATGGAAACATTTTAAAAGCTAAGGATAACCAAGTTGGTTAATACCATAAATATTGTAAGTGTATCCAGTTCTAGTCTCTTCATACAGTCAAATGAATTACTGTCAACGTGGGGACTCCTGCCCTTGACTTTGATGTACAGGGAGGCGGGATAAGGTAGAGGCTAACATGGACTTTGGAATCAGACAGACATGGGTTCACTTCCTGGGTTCAAAACTCACGAGTTCTGTGATCTTGGGGAAGGTATTTGCCTTTTAAGTCACAGTTTTCTCAGCTGTAGATTAGGGTTAATAAGGGCCAAAATTTGAGGGCTTTCTACCTACCAGTCTTTACTTAAATGTAGTATTTATTTCAATCTTCATCTTTATCTTAAGGTATAGATATGAATTTTTTCTCTATTTTACAGATTTAAGAAAATTGAGTCTTAAAGGGGTAGAGTGACTCGCCCAAGCTCATCCAGCCAATTGAGAGTAGGGTTGGAATTCAAGGCCAGGGTCTGTCTGACTCAAGTTCTTAACACTGCCTTGTCCTACCTTATGGGGGGCTGCTATACATAATTCAAAGGGTGCCTGGAGGTTAGGAGATATGTTTTAAACAGTTTGCACCATGTCTCACACATAGTAAGCACTTAATATATGTTAGTTAGAGGGATTTTGATGTATTAGCCATGGACTGGTGGGGTTTATTTGTCATACCTGGCTGGCTAGGAAGGAAGTACCTGCTTCTCTCACTGTCCCTTCCTCTACCACATGCCTCTTTGAAGCTGTACACCTGGGCAAAGACAGTCTTCCCTGGTTAAAG